GGAAACAAAAAAGATAGACAAAGGTCCACCAACAGAAGGCTCGAAGACTGGATATACATAATTGTAAAATATCAAAAATATTAGATTGTAAGTACATCGTATTCAATCTCCTATAAATAGGGAGATCATTTCATACAAGTGGAGGAACAAGTTTTGATAAAATAAAAAGGTTTACAAGAAATCCAAGAAGACCCCATTAGTCTCGAGAGGAAAACTCAGTGTGCTCTCCTCCCTATTTTTCTCTTCTTTTCTCTTTCCTTGTGGTGGCTATTGAGGTGTGATTCACAGACAAATATGAATTTTAACATATATCATTTGCTTTCAAATTGTGATTTCAAATTGACATGTAAGTTTTTAACCAAAATAAAAATAATCTCAAATTGAGTGCATCTTCTTTATTGCCAACACTGCGTTTGCTACATTAGCATCAACTTTAGGGCGACGGTGTACAAGTCGCAGTGAAAAAGAGAGAGATACAACCTCATATTTCAAGGTAGAACGAAAGATTTTGACAATGATCGTTAGATCATCTTTTCTATAAAATTATTTAAATAGAAAATTAGTTCATTATTTTAGGGAAAAATGGGTTTAAATAAGACTCAAAATTATTATATTTGCTTTGTAATAAATAAAGTACAGAGATAATTAATATTGATTAAATTCAGTTTTTTTAATAATTTTAAAAATGGTCTCGAGACACTGAAAAAAATGGGGTTAGTGTGGCTCAAAAACTTTTAATTTCTCTTAGCATAAATATAATACATACATAAACAAGATTCAATGATTTTAGATCCATCATCCATCTTGATCGCTTTTTTGTTAGAATACTTTGAAATATATTTTTTATTGATACAAAAATGAGATTAAAATAACAATTAATATATATATGAGAGTTTTTAAAAATAAAATATCATTAGACATTAGGGGTAGTTATGTTTGCAATGCTCAGATCTTCTATATTAATAAGTTTAACATTTAACTACTTCCTTTTATAAACTATAAATGGCACCATTAAATGCCTTCAAAGTTATCTAGAAGTGCGCATTTCCTCGATTAATTAGCGCCGACAGGCTTTTATTGGATGAATTAAGGCTTCAACTATAATTTTAGCCCAGGATTTTTAGATCTCTACACATCGAGGCATTTTATCGGCCCATTTGGTTATACGATGACTATGTTTGGAAAAAATTCACTTAGAAACACACACACACACACACACAAACTTCAAATTAATGATCATACGAAAAATCATCAAATCAAAATGTTGGATTGTTGTCTGCTTCATTTTGGATTTGATCTGGTTCGAATTTTTTAGATGCTTTCTTGGCAGGATAAATTAGACGGAAGTTGTCAGGCGAAGGAAATCCTTTAATTCTATATTTATTAAAATTTTATCTAAAAAATATATCATAAAAAATAAATAATAGTAGTATGTATGCAATTATTTACAAAGCCTAGCCTAATGTTTATAAACTTTGATAAATTTATCGTCAAAATTATTGCTTAATTTAGCTAATTATAATACTTAATTGGAATTATTTTATTAGAATGAACCATAATAAATCTTAAAATATGTATTTTGTTGGACATTTGAGTAAGGGTCGGTTTGGGGCAGCTGCAGCTTGTCCTGATAATCTGCTGTGAACCAGATAATCAGTCTGGCTGTTTGGTTAGTGTGTTTTGAGAACAGCTGATTGTGGAGAAATGACCAATCTGCCCCTGTTCTGAATAAACAATTCAGCTGTTTGGTACGTTCGTTCTGTAAATCTTCAATTTGTGTCAAAACTTAAAAAATCAGGGCTCCACCACTACCGTCAAACACTTAATATTTATGCACCAGCATCCTTTTCACTATTAAATACACAAATAAACTCAATACTCTCAAGTTCTTAAAAAAACCCCACTTAGCAGACTGAGGTTAAGAAAAGTATGTTTAGAGAAATTGTTAATTTTTTTTAAATACATCATCTGGTTGAATGTATTTATAAACCATCATCATTTTCTAAATATATTTTCTATCAGCAAAAAAAAAGCCAAATGAGCCCAAAAAAAAAATTCACCTAAAATCAATCTCCCGCACAAGTAATTCCAAATACCTCAGCTCTCACCAAAAATCGATCTTACAAGCACTCCCTCAAATCAAGTAACCTTTCTTGAGAGGAAAGGGCAGAGTTTAAGCAAATAAATGAAGAAGGTAAACAAAACGAGGATAGTTGAAACCCTAGTACCTGAAACAGGAGGTGAGTGTTTGAGGAACCAAGAGTGGAGACGAACCCCATCAGAAGAGCGAAGCCATACTTCCTCATAGTCGAGGTGGAAACTAGAAGGCGTGATGGTATAGGCGCGGGAAAGACTCAGCAACACCGGCACATATACGAGTCGCTCCTGAAAAGCCACCAACGTGGTCATTCCGACCACCGCGATCCCGCCGACGCCATACGCTAGCGGCTTGGTCCACGAAGGATGCGTATGAGAGCAATAGGGTCACGGGAGTAATTATGAGATCGAAAACGCGGACAGCTGGGATCGACCTGCGGTCCGCGTCTTTCACAAATTATAAAACGCGGTTTAAAATAATTTGTTAATAAGTGTGAAACAAACGTCAAAGCTGGCAAGCAAGCTCTAGCTTTAATAGGATTTAATAAATTCTGAATTTTTAAAACAGTGAAATTCATCATCCTCCTGTATTTAGTAAATTTAGATTTAATCTGACTCGAAGGAAAATTTTGGTATGGAACTCTTGAATTTTTGTGTTTGGTTGGATTTTATAAATTAACGATACCAAATACCCCCTAATTAGTATTTGGTTGATATCAAGAATTATCAATAAATTAATACACAAGTTACTCAATGGCTAAATTAAAGTTCATCAAAACAGGTTAATGTGCGTTTAGGAGCGGTGGGGTGGCGGTATAGTGCAGACTTCACGAATGGCAAGGTGTAGCGATGAAGGTTCGCAGTGTTGAAATATAAACTTGGTTTTATTTGTTTAAATAAAGCTTAATTTCTAGAAGCTTATTCTAGAATATGTGGTAGGTATGAAATTATTATGTAGTAAGTGTGGTAGGTGTGGTAGGTGTTGAATTATTGTGTGGTAGGTGTGGAATTATTTGTAACCATTGGATTGGAATTGTGGTGGCACAATCCTAGCCATTAATTTAGGAGGTGTCACTAGTATAAATAGGGGTGGAGTCTTTGAGTTTGTATAAAACCAAGTAAAGGTGATAAATAAGAGTGAAGCTTCTTCCATAAGTTGTGTTTTTAG